TGACGATGATGATGCTGATGATGATGCTGATGCTGAAGCTGATGATGATGCTGATGACGATTATGATTGTATTAATGGTGCTGATTCTGATGACGATGATGCTCCTGCTGCTGCTGCTGCTGATGATGATGATGATGATGATGATGCTGATGCTGATGCTGATGCTGATGCTGATGATGTAGTGATGGTAATGATGACGAATCCGATGGTTATGCCGACGACCACGATCCTGCAGGTGATGATGCTGATGCTGCATATGATGCTTCTGCTGCTGATGATGCTGATCATGATGACGATGCTGCTGATGATGATGCTGATGCTGATGCTGCTGCTGCTGCTGCTGCTGCTGCTGCTGATGATGATGATGATGATGAGGAGGAGGAGGAGGAGGAGGAGGAGGAGGAGGAGGAGGAGCAGGAGAAGGAGGATGAGATGGAGGAGGAGGGGGAGGAGCGGGACGAGGAGGCGGCAGAGAAGGAGGAGCATGAGGAGGGGTTACCAGGGAATACTAGGAGGAGGGGGAGGAGGAGGGGGAGGAGGAGGAGGCGGAGGAAACGGCGGAGGAAGATAGCATGCAGCAGCATCGTTAGGGGGGGGATTCTTCCATTATTCCCAGTGTTTACCGAGCATTCCGCCATGCAGGCGGGTCTTGCGCGCAACCACTCCGCCGGGCGCTGACGTGCTTGCACCTTTACCTCGGTTTTGCCGCTCTTGCACCAGGAGACTTCGCCATCATGCTATGGGGGGGTACGAAGATGGTGTGGAGGATCGGACGAGAATGACGACGATGAGCGATCCTAGCTCAAGGCTTTGAACTTGTTTATGCGGGTGGCTTGTAAGCGTGCCGTTGCGCGAAGTTGCCTTTCTTCGTTTTCTTGCTGTGACACCTCTGTCGGTCTCCCGTTCGCTGCCAGCTGTCTGTAAGGGAGCTGAGGCGTGTCGTCAGCTCACGTCCGAATACTTCTTCCTCTCGTTTCTGCTGTGGGGCCCATAGAAGCTTGAGACAGCAGCGTGTGAAATTATTGGAAACTTTCATGTTGGCATTGCCCTCGTCAGGGCACGCCGTCGCAATTCCTCTGCGAGTCTGTGACTCAGACTTGGGGCGTGCCGACGTGGGACTCTACGTTGTATGTCGCCTCAGCCTCCCTCCTCTGTGACCCCCGTTGCTAGGAGGAAGCCGCATCCGAATCTGCCGCATACCAGCTCAACGGGAGCCACCCCAACCAACCATCCCGACTTGTCCATCGTCTTACCTTCCCTCTTGCCCTCTCTCCCTCCCTTCCTCCCTCTCCTGTTCCCTCCCTCCCTCCTTCCCTCCAGTCGCCGTAGCCGCCGAGGACATCTGCAAGCTGCTCGTTGCGAGGCCACGGGGGATGATCATGGTGATGACGGTTAGACGTATTATGCTGATAATGTCAATGACACCGACGAAGATTGTGGTTAGGATGATGGTGGTGGTGATGGTGATGCCGTGATGGTGCCGACGACGATAAGAATGATGCTGTCGTTGGTGATGGCGATGTTTGTATGTTTGTGAGGATGGCGATGACGATCGAGCGAGTGGCACTTGCGTTCGAGCGAGTGGCACTTCACCCCCGAGGGATGCACGAGCTCGAGCAGGACCTCCGCACGTTTCGCGACCGCCGGCACCTCACACGCTTGGACAGGATCTATAGCAGCCGCCACGTCCTGGAGCAGATCGACAGATCCATGACTCTTGCACTGCGCTCCAGCGCACGCGTCTGTCGGCCCAGCGCCCCCCCCGGCCCCTCCCGCCGCAAGCGCGAGAAGCTCCCGAGCGACGCTCCGAGCCCGAACCCACACCATTTGCGGAGTGCACGCTGGGCAGAACGGGCGGCGGCAGAGCTGGAGGAGCTCGAAGAGGGCGACGACCGGACCAGCGACATCCGACGGCTCGTCCCAGCCAGGCGGGCTAGGCGCACAGTCTCCGGCAGCGTGCAGAGGGAGGGGGAGGACCAGCCCAGCGACGACCACCGACGACCAGCGTGGCTGTACCTTCGGCTAACAGCCGCTCCGCGGAGAGGCGCCATGTCCAGACGGTGCGGCGCAGGAGGTCGGCAGACTGCCCTGAGATTCGCGAGCCCGCCGATCCAAGCGACCCTTAGGCTCCCAGCCGGGGGTGCTTTCAGCGTCTGGCAGGACATGCCCTCGATCTCGCTCGCCAGCCGCTCACGGAGAAGATGCGGGGCCTCGCGGCAGCCCAACTCGAGCCGGATGACCCGCGTCGGCAGGCTCGGAAGGAGCACGTTCCAAGGAAGCTCAAGCGACTTGTCCCTGGCGCCAGTGACGCATCAAGTCCGCCAAGGACCCAGAACCACGGCCTGTGCACGTCCCCCGAGGCGCCGGCCCGGTCTTTCCAACGCCATTGGAGCAGAGTGTTCAACAGACGAAGCGAGCGGCGGCGAGCTACTACAGCAGTGGCTCGGCCCTCTGCCGCACATCACCAACCAGCAACACCAGTCGACACCGACGCAAGCACCCTGCCCACCTCAAGACCTCACGCCCAGCAGCACCTTCGCGCAACGCCATCATCGCAAGCACCTCCGCATCCCCCGCCCCCCCCCCCTTCCGCCGCCTGCGCGACCCCCCAATCCGCACGCGTCCGTGGCTACTGCTGGGAGGCGCGGCCGCCAGCTGCTTCACAGAGCCGGCGCAGGATTGGACTGCCCACCCACAGCTGTTAGTGGAGAGTCAGCTACCAGGACATTGAACATGCGATTTCCCACAGCGGGGATACCATGCAGGGACCTGGCGGCATCCCGTGCTAGGCTTGGAGGCAGCGGGGCCCGCTCGGCGTGGGCATCCTCACCAGGGCGGCGTGGCGCTCGAGCGCGAGGGCGCCGAAGACCTTTTGATTGACGGCTACCGCGACGCGGTGGGCGAACGCGACCACCTCTTCCTCTTGAGCACGCTGGTCTGCCTACCCAAGAAAGCGGCGGGCACCATGGACAGCAACCTACCCATCTCCCTCCCGGAGGGGACACGGCCCCTTGTCAATAGTGAGTTGTGGCAGCCACCTCATCGCGAACGCGGTGCGGCAGAGGTGGGAAAGCCACTTCGCGGACTGGGTCCTAGAGGGTTAGCAGGGCTTTCTTCCCAAGCGCTTCCTCCTAACCAACAGCATCGGGCTTGAGACGGACATGGTGGTCACGACCTAGGCCCAAGACAACGGGGCTTGCGTCGTCCTGGATTTCAAGGCGGCGTTCCCGTCAATAGCGCAGGAACTTCTGTTCCAGACCTTGGAGTACATCGGTTTGCCTTCTGGCGCGTCGAACAAGATCCGCCACCTGTGCAACAATGCCTCGTGCCAGATAGCTAGCGGTCGGCAGGGGGACGTGCGAGGACTTCACATTGGCAGCTGGGGTATGGCAAGGGTGTCTGCTTTCACCCTTACTGTACGCAGTCGTCGCAGAGGTGTTGCTTTACAAGATATGTCAGTCTTGCTTCAAACGGCGGTGCTTCGCTTACGCAGACGACACCGCCTTGGTGATCGACAAGATCACTGAGCGAGGGGTTCCAGCTGGCTCGTTTCTTCGAAGAGTTCGCCCGCGTCTCCGGTCTGGACCTCCACCTTGACAAGTGCATCGTAATCCCACTTGGCGGCGGGGACCTGACGGAATTCCAGCAGCAGCAGCTGGCCCAGAACGTTCCCGCATGGAGCCGGATGCAGGACCGGCTGCAGGGCAAGCATCTCAGCTTTATGATCGGACCCATGAAAGGGGAGGATAGTTGGAGAGTAACGCTTGAGAAATACATCCCACGCTGTCGTCTTTGGTACAATCTTGGCGCGGGTTTGAAGTGCAGCGCCCTCGTCTACAACACTTTCGTCGCATCGGTGCTGGCCTTCGCCATGCAGCTGGAGAGCCTCCCGGGCGAAGCTCTGACGAGGAAGTCGCAGGCTTTGCAGCACATGGCCAAAGGACCCGGAGCGTGGTTCATCAATGAGGACCTTTTCTTTTTCAAGGAACGTTTTGGCATGTCGAAATCTTTCCACTCTCTGGCCTGGTTGACTCTTCACGCGAGGTGCAGGGTCAGCTGCTTCGACCGTGCTTGCGGTCAGCGGCGTCTGCAGGAACTGTCCGACAGGCTCGCCAGTGCTCGTGGCCTGGGGTTGCGCCCTCATATCCTCATGGGGCGGCGCGGGTGGTTCAGAGGCGCATTCGTGTTGAACCTTGATCAGGCTCAGGACTACGTGCAACGCGTCTTGGGGGGGATGGGCCACCTACAGAGAAAACATTGCCGATTATGTTTCCCGACAGAACTTCCAGAAAGTCGGATACCAGGGCATCCTGGACATGGGAGGCCACCCGCGCCCTGATGCGGGTGCGGCGCAGATTCAATCTCCGCCATCTGTGGGACGCCTCCCTCTTCCCGCAGTCGCTGGGCACCATTACCTTACAAATCACTCCGCGCTGCGGGGCTCGCCGAGCCCTCCGGTAACTACAGGGGTTGAGGGCGGTTGTGGCGCCATGCGTGCAGTCGGCGGTGTTCAGTACAGTATGGAAAGAATGGGCCACCCGGGGCCGCTTCCAACAGCGCCGCGCCCCGACCAATCGCTGCCTGTTCGGATGCCCGCCCAGGGCCGAAGATTCAGTTGAGCATTGCTGCCGGTGCCCATTGACGGCCCGGCTGCTGCAACGGCATCTCAACATGGGCACTTCGATCTTCGGCAACATCCACACCTTCATGCTTCAACACTCACATAGAAGGCGACGAGACGCTATGCAAAGTAGGACTGCTGATCTGCGCGAGACACAACGCTGTCAACAGCATCCGGCACAGCGAGGTGGTACCCGAGACCTCCTTAGACTGCCTGTGCCAATCCTCGCGGGAGGCGGCCAGTGGGCGCGCGTGCCCGACGACTGTGCTCGACGGCACCTTCTGGACGCCACGGGGCGCCAGGAGAACGTGATCGTTCTCCCCCCCCACGGCGTCTACGGCCACGGCGTGTGATGCCTTCTCCTTTCCTCCCCTCTCTTCCTCCTCCGCTTTTCCCTTCGCTGTGTCGGGCGTTCCCGACGGGCGGTGCTCGCCGACGTGGCCGGCGACCAGCGCGCGCCCGTCGCAGCGACCTTGGTCCAGGGGCTCCATTTCATCAGCCTCCGTCCTGGCCGCGTGGCCGATATTCGGCGGGCCGCAACCAACCCCGCGGCTGGCAGCCGCGTTGCAACAGTCACTAGCCTCCCCCTGGGAGCCCCAGGCCGCTGGGAGGGGCTAGGGACCGCTCCTTTTCCCTTTCCCCGTCCACTCCTTTCCTCCTCCCTTTCTTCGTCGTCGGGGGGCGGTCCCCTGCTTCCCCTCGGGCTTGCGGCCCCCCGCGGGGGTGGCGTCTGAGGCAGCGGTGTAGTTCCCAAATCCAGATTGTGCTGGATCGTTGGTTTGTCCCTCGTGCGCGCCGTCCCCGTGACATGCAGTGGCGATGGCGCGATGGGCGGGTCACGATTTGTCCGCCCAGTCTGGGGTGTCACGGAATGCCCCCGCAGCCTGTCTGGACGCCCAGTGGTCGTCGATTCTCTCTTGTGTCGGAGCTGTGTTTCGCTGTTTCCTTTTTTGTCTATCTTCCCTCCCTCCTCCCCTTTCTCTGGCGCCTGCGGAGGCCGCAGTTCTTGACCGGGTGCAACATGTCAGTGCAGGTGCAACCGCCGGCCGTTTGGGGACAGGTTTGCCGGTTTTTGGCCGCTCCCCCTCGTCCATTCTTCTTTGGACGCCCGGAATGGGTACTGAATCAATGGGCACAATGCCCAACAAAATGTTGTCCCAAACCAACAGCGGCCGCTGTTGGGCAGGCGGCCTTCTGTCTCAAATGGACACATTCCGCGGCGACGCCGACAGCGAGTCCTGTTCAAAATGTACAGGAACTGCTGTTGAGCAGTGTACCCATTCTTTCCCTGCCCATCTCGTTAGTGCAGACCTTCCGCCCCACCACCACTTGCAGTACTTAGCGTCGCGTGATTTTTTCAATGACGCGGAGCGTCATGGGGATCGGGGCACGCGCCGGCTGGTCCAGCGTCGGCACCGCCCCGCGTGAGCACCGCGGTGGCCCCCCCGCACACGCGAGGTGTTCGTGAGGGATGGCGGTGCGAGCTGCGCAGGCGCGAGCCACGCTTTCGCCCTCGTTCCTCCCCCCCCCTCGTTCCTCCACCGTTTTCGCCTCTTCCAAGTCCCGCGGCTGCCAACTGCGAAGCAGTCCGGGGTGTTTCGAGCGCGGCCTTATACCATGTGCTGCCCACCAGGCTTCCGCAGTGCAGGCATTGAGGCAGCGGTTTTCTGGCGTGTCGGCTCAATCCTTCGTGGCGTGCACCGCATGGGCTTGCCTCTTGCACGTCGGTTCGTGCGGGGTGCAGTCCCCAGCCTGAGCCTGCGGCTTATGTGCTCGTCTCGGGTCCACACTTGGGGCCAGAGTTCGGGGCCGCTTGTCCCATCTCCCCTCCTCCTTCCCTCGCCTCTCTTCCCTGCCTCGTCGTTGTGTTTTCCTTTCTGCTTCTTCCTCTGTTGGCTGCAGCAGCAGTCGCAGAGATGGGTGGGTGCGTTTTTTTTCGCCTTCGCCAAACCCAGCAGCGGGGCCGGCCCCAGTCTTGATCCGGTATTTACATGACAAGGTGATCCTGAGCGGTTTGTCTGCCCTGGGCTGCTGGCTGCTCCCAGAAGGTCCTTTCGCTTTTCTAGCTGAGCGTGCCGATCGCCGGGGATGCGGTGACGCGAACCCGGCCGGGGCCCATCGAGCACCACCGTTCTTTGCTGTGGACGTCTGCAGCCCCCATGAGTTAGATGCAGGGGGATTTGTTCGACTCAAGTTCGACTCACGTTCGACTCACGTTCGACTCACGTTCGACTCAGGGTCGACTCAGGTTCGACTCAGGGTTGACTTGGATCGACGGATGTTCGACGCAGCTTCGATGCATGCATGGAGCGAGTGTCTCCAGGAAGGTCCCCAGAATGAGCATCCAACATGAGGGGAAGCGGATTCGCCCCGGGTGGTGGACGAAAACGATGATGGCGATAACGATGGTGCTGAGGATGAGGACCGTGGTGGTGAATCTGGTGATGATGGGTATGCTTGCGGTGCTGGTAGCAGTGGCGGTGGCGGTGATGGCATCATGGGGCGATCTGTGATGGTGGTGCTGACGGTGATGGCGGTGGATGGGATTATGATGGTGATGATGCTGATGATGATGAGGATGATGATGCTGATGATGCTGCTGATGATGATGAGGAGGATGACGATGAGGATAAGGACAACGAGGAGGAGGAAGATGAGGAGGAGGAGGATGAGAAGGAGGGGTCTGGCTACGGGAGGATCCTCGTCGCCACGGGTAGATTTGCATCGACATTTTGGGCAACACGATCCCAGGAGAGTTCGGGAGTCCGAGCTTTTGAGAAGGATGGCGCAGGCCTCCAGCATCTTGGAAAGCCAAGGCGGAGGTTCCTTACGATTATCGGCCTGACACTCTTCGAGCTCCGGAATGAAAGCATACCCTTGAGGAGGGGTTGGGATCTCGGGAGACCCCGTATTGCACAAGTCAAGGCGTCAGAGGTCTGAAAGGCCATCAGGAGAAAGAAGATGAGGAGGAGGCGGAGGAGCAGGAGGAGGAGGAAGAGTGGGAGGAGGCGGAAAAGGAGCAGAATGAGACGAGAAGCTGCAGGAACAAGACGAGGAGGGGTGTGGGGGGGAGGAGGAGATGAGTAGGACGGGGGAGACGAGGGTGAGTACCGAGGTCGGCGACGATTAGGAAGAGGAGGAGGAGAAGAAGGAGGAGGCTGTGGAAGAAGAGGATCCTTATCGATATCGATGCCAGCAACGACAGGAGGAGGACGATGAGGAGGAGAAGAAGAGGAGGAGGATCGTTATTGACATCGATGCCAGCAGCGACAGCGACATGATGAGGAGGGAGGAGGGAGGAGGGAGGAGCAATGAGGGAGGATGCTGATGATGATGATGATGATGATGATGATGATGATGCTGATGATGATGATGACGATGGTGATGGTGATGATGATGAGCATGAGGATGAGGCTGATGATGATGCTGATGATGGCGACGATGCTGTTGATGATGATGCTGATGATACTGATGATTCTGATTCTGATGATGATGATGCTGCTGATGATGATGATGCTGATGATACTGATGATGATGCTGAAGATGGTGAGTCGAATGCTGATGCTAATGATGATACTGAGGAGGAGGATGATGAGGAGGAGCAGGAGGATAATGAGGAGGAGGACGAAACTGAGGATACTGAGGATGATGATGATGACGATGACGATGGTGATGATGCTGATGCTGATGTTGCCGATGCTGAGGATGCTGACAACGATGATGCTGTTGATGATGTTGATGATGCTCATGATGCTGCTGCTGATGATGCTGCTGATGATGCTGATGCTCATGCTGCTGATGATGCTGATGATGATGATGATGACGACGCTGATGCTGATGCTGATGATGATGATGATGAGGAGGAGGAGGATGATGATGATGATGATGATGACGATGGTGATGGTGATGATGATGAGCATGAGGATGAGGCTGATGATGATGCTGATGATGGCGACGATGCTGTTGATGATGATGCTGATGATACTCATGATACTGATTATGATGATGATGGTGCTGCTGATGATGATGCTGATGATACTGATGATGATGCTGAAGATGGTGAGTCGAATGCTGATGCTAATGATGATACTGAGGAGGAGAATGATGAGGAGGAGCAGGAGGATAATGAGGAGGAGGACGAAACTGAGGATACTGAGGATGATGATGATGACGACGACGATGGTGATGATGCTGATGCTGATGTTGCCGATGCTGAGGATGCTGACAACGATGATGCTGTTGATGATGTTGATGATGCTCATGATGCTGCTGCTGATGATGCTGCTGATGATGCTGATGCTCATGCTGCTGCTGATGCTGCTGATGATGATGCTGATGACGACGCTGATGCTGATGCTGATGCTGCTGATGATGATGATGATGCTGATGATGATGATGATGATGATGAGGATGATGATGATGATGATGATGATGATGATGATGATGCTGATGATGATGATGATGATGATGATGCTGATGATGATGATGATGATGATGATGCTGATGATGATGATGATGATGATGATGCTGACAATGATGCTGCTGCTGATGCTGATGATGCTGCTGCTGATGATGAGGATGCTGATGACGATGATGAGGTTACTGCTGTTGATGCTGTTAATGATGCTGATGCTGATGCTGATGCTAATGCTGCTGCTGATGATGGTGACGATGAGGACGAGGATGCGGAAGAGGAGGAAGAGGAGGAGCAGGACTATGAGATGGAGGGTACTTGCCATCGACATCAATGCCAGCAGCGATAGCGACAGCGACAGGAGGATCAGGAGGAGGAGCTGGAGGGGGAGGAGCTGGAGCATTACGGGGAGGAGGAAGCGGATGGAGCAGGGGGGAGGAGCAGCAGCAGCAGCAGGAAGAGGAGTACGAGGCACAGGAGAGCCACGGTGGTGAGGAGCAGGCGCGATGCCGATGGTCAGTATCGTTTAACCGACCCCCATCCCCATCCCCATCCCCATCCCCATCCCCTTCGAGACCCCCACCACATTACCCCCCCCAGTTTGGGATACGGCTGCGACGCCCGAAGGGAGCGGCCTAGATCCTCATCTAGGGGGCTAAATCGGCCAGTGGGGCCCAGGCCACGCCGCTGGGGATGGGGATCGGTTGAACCATACTCATCCTGGGGCACCCTGGGCTTCCGTTGGTCCTCCTCCTCACCATCCCACCTCCCCCTCCTCCTCCTCCTCCTCCTCCTCCTCCTCCTCCTCCTTTCACCCCTCCTCTCCCTCCTCCTCCCACCTCATCCTCCTTCTCCTCCTCCTCCTCCTTCTCCTCCTCCTCCTCCCACCTCCTCCCACCTCATCCTCTCCCTCCTCCTCCCACCTTCTCCTCCTCCCACCTCCTCCTCCTCCCACCTCCCACCTCCTCCTCCTCCTCCTCCTCCTCCTCCTCCTCCTCCTCCTCCCAGCTCCACCTCCTGGGATCGGATAACCGATGCCAAGAGGAGGGGCGAGCCGCGGAGCCAAGGCGCGCGGACGTCGCGGCGCTGAACCACAAGGGGCAGACCGCGCTCCACCTCGCCGGGCGGGCAGGCGGGTCGCCGCGGCCGTCCCGCCCCCCCAGAGCAGGAGGGAGGAGGAGGAGGAGGAGGAGGAGAGAGGAGGAGGAGGAGGAGGAGGAGGAGAAGGAGGAGGAGGAGGAGGAGGAGGAGGAGGAGGAGGAGGGGAGGAGGAGGAGGAGGAGGAGGAGGAGGAGGAGGAGGAGGAGGAGGAGGAGGAGGAGGAGGAGGAGGAGGAGGAGGAGGAGGAGGAGGAGGAGGAGGAGGAGGAGGAGGAGGGAGGGAGGAGGAGGAGGAGGAGGAGGAGGAGGAGGAGGAGGAGGAGGAGGAGGAGGAGGAGGGGGAGGGGCCTCTTGGGGGCCTCTTGGGGCGCCTCGGAGGCTCTCGTGGACTCCTCGGGCCGTCTGAGGGCGCTCTTAGGTCGTCTGGGCGCCTTCCGAGTCGTCTTGGGGAGCCCTTGTGCCTTGTGGGCTTTTTTGATGCCATTTTGGAGGCTTCTTCTGCCGTCTTGAGCTCACGGAAACCCGAAAAGGTATGTATGCGAACATGAATCAGCAATGTTTGAAGAAAGTCACTGATTTCGGCCTCTTCGGGCCTCTTCGGGCCTCTTCGGGCCTGAGGAGGGGTGCACGCAGATGGACGCGAGAAGAGTGGAGGGGGGGGCCGTAGAAGATGGCAGAAACTCTACCAGTCCACCAGACAGCACTTGGCATTCTACCACGTGTCAACGTCCCAGGGGTCACGTTGGCGGACTGTCCAGGATCACGAGAAGGAGGAGGGTGCACGCACTTGTGGAACCTCTGGCGTCGGCTAGGCTGTCTCGGCGGCGAGCCCGGGGGGGAAGTGAGAAGGGACGGGCCTTCCCAGAAGGCTCTGAAAGCATCGGGCCTTTGAGAAGTTTTCTAAGCTTTAAGTCGGGCGTTTTCTTCCACAGGAGGAATATTCAAAAACAGTCAAAGTTAGTCTGCGGACGATGTTTCGACTACTTTTGACTCTAGTATTGTTGAGTATTTGATTGTTTTTTTTGTTCGCCCAAAGTCCGCCTGTAGGAGGACATGCCCTACCTAATTCTACGCCTTCCCCGAAGGCGCAAAATATTTCTCAGAAGGCCAGCGGGCTTCTGAGAGGCCCCGCCGCCTGCTCGGGGCCTGCCGTGCCCGCAGGCGGCGGAGGGCCCGCGGGCGACCCCCCTCCCTGCAGAGCCCCCCAAACACTGCCCTCGTGCTGACGCAGCTGCCGACAGCCAGCGGCGGGGAGTGCTCGCGGCTCAGCGTGCCGCCGTGCGTGCCGAGTCCACCCGCCCCTGGTCTCGGGGGGGGTGGGGCGCCAAAGGGGCCCTTACGGGCCACAAGGGGGCCCACAAAGGGCCCTGAAGGGGCCCCGAACGGGCCTCGAAGGGGCCCTGGAAGGGTCCGAAAGGGCCCTGAGTGGGGGCTTTTCTGTAGGACCCCTGAAGGGCCTAAAGGGGCTTCTTCAGGGCCCCCTTTCCTTCACCCCCCATGTAGGCCCCCTCTCCCATTACCACCCGCCCGATGGTCAGGGGGGCAACCTGGGCGGGGATAGGCTCGGGGAGAGTGCATCGACCCACAACCGCCCACTGATCACCGCCCCGATAGCCCACCCCGCCCTGGGCCGCTCGGTTTCGCTATCGGGGGCCTATCGCCGATTCCATGTGGATGTTCCCCCCCCCCCCCCAGGAGAAGGATGAGGAGGAGGACGAGGACGAGGACCAGGACGAGAAGGAGGAGGAGGAGGAGGAGGAGGAGGAGGAGGAGGAGGATCCCCCCTCCTGAGACTGTCCTCCCTGCATCGTTCCCCCTAGTGGGTGCTGGCACCGTGGGCTGCGCAGGCCTCAAGGACGTCTACAGCTACCTGTCCTCGCAGATGACCGGCGCGCTGGCCGATCACACCGACATGCACGGCGCCACCGCGCTGGAGTACGCGAAGCAGGCCGGAAAGGGGTCTCAGCTGGAGGAGAAGGAGGAGTAGGGGGTGATCGGAGGAAGAACAGAGGGACATGAGATGACGATGATGGTAGTGATGATGTTGATGATGATGTTGATGGTGGTTATGATGACGATGACGATGATTCTGATGATGATGAGGATGATGATGGTGATTGTGATAGTGACGGTAACTGTGATTGTGATGGTTGTGGATGTTGTTGATGATGGTGATGGTGAGGGCGACGACACTGACGATGATGCTGATGATGATGCTCCTGCTGATGATGATGACGATGGTGACGACGATGACGAGCACCATGATGATGATGATGATGATGATGATGATGAGGATGCGGATGAGGATGATGATGGTGATTGTGATGGTTACGGTAACTGTGATTGCGACGGTGGTGGATGTTGTTGTTGTTGGTGATGATGATGGTGATGATGGTGACGGCGACGACAGTGACGAAAATGATGTTGCTGCTGCTGATGATGATGACGATGTTCCTGCTGCTGATGATGACGATGATGACGACGATGACGAGCACCATGATGATTATGATGATGATGGTGGTGATGCTGTTGATGCTGCTGATGATGATGATGATGATGATCGTGGTGATGCTGATGATACTGATGATGCTGATGGTGATGAGGATGGTGAGGTTGATGCTGCTGATGCTGCTGATGATAATGATGCTGCTGCTGATGATGATGATCATCATGAAGCTGATGCTTATGACGATGGTGACTACGATGACGATCACTATGATGATGATGCTGATGATGATGATGATGAGGATGATGATGATGATGACGATGAGGATGATGAAGAGGATGAGGATTATGATGCTGATTATGATAATGATGATGATGATGATGATGATGATGATGATGATGATGATGATGATGATGATGATGATGATGATGATGATGGTGGTGGTGGTGGTGGTGGTGGTGGTGATGTGCTGATGATGATGGTGGTAATGGACACCCGAACACGTGCGAGCGCGGAACTCTTTGAGACACTTAAGGGGGATCAGTTATTGTTTGGCCTCTTCAGGCTCATCCTGAGGGTCCTCACGAAGCACCCTTGGGGGTTTCCTGGGTTGTCTTAAGGCTTAAGGCCATCTTGGGGCCGTCTTAGGGCCATCTTGGGCCGTCTCGGACGCAATGTTTGAGCCATGCCAGCAGCCTTGATTGCCTGCCTGGGCTGTCTACGAAACCATCCTTGGGCATCTCAGTCGCTGTGGAGAACGCCTCGGGTTGGCCCAAAAGGGGGTCCAGCGACAAGGGGTTGGTGCAATAGATTTGGTGCAATAGATTTGTGGGGTTGCAATACACCTGGGGCGTGCAATACATTCCGGGGCGCAGATGCATTGCTGGACTTTCGCGTGCAATACACTCTACTTGCAATACAATGCGCACAATTCGCCGGCGCAATGCGTTTGCAATACAATTGCCCCAAATCTAGTGCATCACCCCTTGCAGCTGGACCCCCTTTTGGGCAACCCAAAAAAGTGTAATGTGCATCGTGTACCCATCGGTCGTTGGAAGTAGGTCTCTTTGGCCTTCCAGGTCCCAGTCTACCTCAAGCGCCTTCCTGCTTCAATGATCGAGTGGCTTGCACCAACCCCTTGCAGCTGAACCCCCTTTTGGGCCACCCCAAAAAGATGTAACGTGTATCGTGTACCCATCGGTCGTTGGAAGTAGGTCTTTTGTGGATTCCCAGACTCCAATTTACACTTCAGGCGCCTTCCTGCCTCAAGGATCGAGTGGCTTGCACCACCCCCTTGCAGCTGGACCCCAGTTTGGGCCACCCAAAAAGATGTGACGTGTATCGTGTACCCATCGGTCGTTGAAAGTAGGTCTTTCTGGATTCCCAGGTTCCAGTCTGCTTCAAGCGCCTTCCTGCTTCAATGATCGGCTTGCACCACCCCCTTGCAGCTGGACCCCCTTCTGGGCCACCCAAGACGCCAGGGGAGCGTCACAGCAGGCCTCGGGCCGGGGGGGGGTAGGGGGGGCGGTGCGCGCAGCGGAGTTTTCCTGCAGGGAGGAGGGGGGTCCGTTACAGGGGGGTCAAGTCGGTCGTGTCCTTAGTGGGCCCTGGAAACGACAGGGCCGTTTTCTTTACCGGTTCTGCTTTGCCGTTTCTTTGCCGGTTCCGTTTTGCCGTTTTTTACCGGTTCCGTCGCCGTTTTTGACAGTTTCCGGCTCGGGTTCCAATCCTGGAGCCGTTTTTTTGCTGTTTCCGGTCACCGTTTTTTTTGGCCGTTTCCATTTTCAAGGGACATTTTTGGGGAAACGGTGAAAAAACGGCCCTGCCGTTTCCAGGGCCCACAAAGGTCGTGTCCCTCTACAGGAGGAATCGATCCACAAATTGTCAAGAGCACATGGTCGGGGCATTTTTTCAAGTTTTTCCTCTGAAGCAGGGGGACATGCCCGACCTAACAGTGGGGGCCAATGCCAAGAGACGCCCTGCTTGCCTCCAGGGTGCCCTGGGTTTCTTCGGTTTCGATGGTTTTGCCATGGAGGGAGTGGCGTTCCCACACCAAGAGTCGATGGGCGTCCTGGGGTCTCAGGGTTGGGCTTCTTGTGGAAGGTTTCTTGTGGACTGGCCCCTGCTGTAGAAGAACAGAGAACGCCTCCTGGGCAGCACTTCGCTGTGTACCACGCCTCGACGTGCCAGGGGGCACTGTGGCGGATTCAGGGGTCGAAGGGACCTGAGGACACTCCACTCAGTGCCTGCGGCACGGTGGCGGATAACGGGAAGCGCCTCCGACGTGGACCTTCTTTATAAATCAGATGTAAGTTTCCCTAATGAAGAGCTGCGGGGCGCTCCAGGGCAACCCGGCGGCGGCTGACGGGAAGCGCGCTTAGACTCGAAGAATCGCGCGACGGACGCATGTCGCCCAGAGAGATGTATTTATCAACCGGGGGGGTCCAGGGGGGAATGGTTCGGGGTGGGACCGAGGTTCGTGACTGGTCGGGTGACGGGAAGCGCGCTAAGACTCGAAGATTCGCGCGATGGACGTCTGTGAGCCTAGAGTGACACGTATAGGTATATCAACTGGGGAGGTGCAGGAGGGGAATGGCTCCGGATTGCACTGAGGCCCCAGACCTGTCGGATGCCGGGAAGCGCGCCAAGCTCGCCCGCCGCCGCCCGCGCCGCCTTGCTGCCCCCGCCGCCGCCGCCCGCCGCCGCCGCCGCCCTGCTGCCGCCCAGCCGCTGAGCCCGCCGCCGCCGCCGCCGCCGCCGCCGCCCGCCGCTGAGCCCGCCGCCCGCCGCCGCCGCCCTGCTGCCCCCCCCCGCCCCGCGTCCCCGCGGCCCGGCCGCGGACGCCCCGCGGCCAGTCGGCGCCCTCGGCTGCCGCCCCGGCGGCAGCCGAGCTCCAGCGCGCGGCGGGCTGCGGGCTCAGCGCTGGCGGCGCAGCGGCGGAGCGTGCCGCGCGCGGCGCCGCAGCGCAGCCGCCAGGCTTTGGCGGACCGCCGCCAGCGCGTCGCAGTCGCCGCGCGCCCAGGTGCGGAGCAGCGCCCGCGCTTCCGTCCCAGCGCGGCCTAGAGCCTCCGCCGCGAAGGCCGTGAGCGCTGGGCCCCGGCAGCGCTGGTGCTTGCACTCGCACTCCGCCGCGGCCGCCGCGGCAGCGCTGTCCTGGACGGCCCGCTGCCGTGCCCGCGCCAAGGGCCGCGTCCGTCGCAACCACGTCGACGTGCACGACGCCGAAGGCGAGGACTGTGAAGGCCACGTCGAGGCGGGCGGCCTCCAAGCGGCCGCGCGACTGCAGGCGGTCCCAGGCGAGGTCGGCCTGCTCTGTGGCCACCCCAGTGGCGCCGCGGGTGCGTAGCTAGCGCGCGAGCCAGTCCCGGACTCCGTCGTGGCGCGCGATCGTTCCGCCGCCTACAAGGCCTCCAAGGCAGTGTCTTGCGCATCTCGCCAACGTGGCATCCAAGGTAGTCCCCGCCGCCAACGTGACGCGGCGGCCATGTTGGCTCCGCAGCGCGCTCCGTCCGCCTAGGCGCGGAGGCAGGTGGCGCTGGTCATAGGCGCGGGGCCCAGCCACAGTCGGAGCGCCAGCGCCGGCAGGAAGTGCGCGTCCGCCAGCGTGTCCTGCTTCGGTGCCAGCAGCCAGCTGCCCGCGCCCCTGCCGCTTGCCCAGCGCAGCTGCGCTGCTTGTCGCGGCAGGGCGCCCAGTAGCCGCAGCGGCCGGCCCGCGCCTTCGGCAGTGTCCTACGCCCGCAGGCGTGCCCGCTGGAACGCCTCCCGGCTGGTGAGCCCGAGCTCGCCGCAGACGCCAGCCAGGCAGGCCTGCAAGGACCCGGCGCAAGCGGGCAGTCGGTGGTGCGCAAGGCCTTGCAGTTGCAGCCCGAGTCCGCCCCAAGCTAGTGGCAAGAAGGCCTGGTCGCAGGCGTTGGCGGGGAGCGCCTGCTTGCTGGTCAGCGGCTCCAGGATCGCCGCCGCGTATCCGAGAACAGCGGCGCCGCAGGCCTGGCACCGCGCTTCGTCCAGCAGGTGCGCCCTCGCGTGGTGCAGGGCCGCGCGTCGAGGTGATCTCGCGGCCGCCGCGAGAAGCTCATCAGCGCAGAGTCGGCGTCCAACGCTGCCCCAGCGGTGTCGCCCACGTGGGGCAAAGTCCTGCCCACGCGCGTGAGTTCGGGCACCGCCGCCCGCGGCTCGGGGCGGGCCAGGCCGCGGGGGTTCCAGACCTTTGTCTTCCCAGCGCTCAGGCGGTGGCCCAGCGCCGCGGAGAAGGCCGGCGCCGCGGCGAGCGCGGCCGCCAGCTTGCTCGGGCTGCCCACCACGTCGAAGTCGTCGATGTAGGCCACGAACTTGGCCGCGGGTTCCGCGCGCCGCTTCCTTCTCGTCCTCGTGCTTGTCTCCCTACTCGTTGTCCTCCTGCTCCCCTGGCTGCCCTTCCCCGTCATCCACGCTGTCATTCTCGTCATCCGTCGCCGCGTTGTCGCTATCATCCTTACGGGCCCGATGAGCAAAACTGGCGCTTCCAGTTCTTGTCCGATCAGGTTTAGAATTGCGCTTCCAGCGCTGTGGAGCGGGCTGGCGGGCGCCTGTGCGCGCAACGATCGCCTTAGTCGTGTTTCTTCCGAGGGCTACCAGTCGTTAAATCCTCGGCGCCAACCGCATTCTGAAGCCGAGCGGTGTTCTCATTTCGACACTAGCTATTGTCGCGGCTGTACTCGCAGCTTCCGTGCCCTACGCTCAGTCTTGCGGTGCGCTCGACCAGTCAGATGCATGTGTTGGCGTGTCGTGCATGCACGTTTCGGAGTTGTAACTTCACTGGTAGCGTCACGTGAGCACGTACGTATTGCACTATCTGTGCTCATTTTTGTTGCTGCCAGTGTTGGAGGCGGGTGCATCGTGGGCCGACACGTCAACGGCATTTTCGGCATCAAGAGGAAGAGGCCCGTTCGTTAACACACCCTTTGTCAGCATCACAGCGTTTCATGCTTAAGCGTTTATCTTTGATTCATCCTCCTGGGTAGGCTGCCAGAGGGGGTTGTAGGAATCGGACGAGGGCGGGATGTGCGAGACGGTTTTCAGCATTTCGGGCTTGCTCTCGCCATTGCCGTATAATGAACCGCCCAGGATTGGCGATGGACACGCGCAGAGGGGGCAGAGGTATCAAACGTGGAGCCATACCGTCTACGAGAACGCAAGTCAGCTGCAAGCCTTTTTGGCGGAGGCTTCCTCGGGGGTAATCCTTCTTATAGGATGAGCAGGCTCCTCCTCACCCTGCTCGGCCAGCATGGCGAGTCTGCTTTACTTGCTGAACTCGGCGCATGCTTTCCAGTGGCGCTTGTTGTTGTGTATTGTCATCGCGAGCATCTAGGGAGGTGGCGCTCCGAGAGCCATGCCCCGACATGCGCCTTTAGGGGCACAAGTGCGGCTACCACAATAGTTGTGGCTCATGCACCAGTTTTGGCTCAAGCCTTTCTTCAGGCCAGGACGCTATCTCATCTCCGTTCTATTGTGTGAGCTACGGACAAGCCCATACCTTCCCTCGTTGCGGCAAAGGGCAGCAGGAATTTGTGTCAGCCATTTTCGGCCTCGGGGGGCCCTCACTGAACCCCGGGACCGTCAAGCAACGCTCTTGGACGACACAACTGCCCTCGGGAGGGGCTCTACGGTCGGGAACTTTGGCTTACCGTGTTGCCCCGCCGTTCTGGCCCACCGTGCTCTCGCGCAACAGGCTGTCCACTTCCTGGTCCCCCCGCGTCCACTTCCCGAGCCTCTCCGAGCCTCCCGCCCCGCGGAGCAGAGCGACACGCTTGCAGGGCACAGCGTGTCGCCAGGGCCGCCGCCGCGACACGCTGAACAACAGGCTCCCACAGAGGACCTCCGGGGGGGCCTCTCGCGCTGCGAACAGAGAGTGGCGGCGTCGGAGATTCTGGGGAGCGTGGCGGGCAAGAGTGCTGGACTGCCGGGAGGGCTGGAGCAGCGGGAGTGGGGTGGACGGTTTCCCCCGGGGCCGTGGGCGACCCGAGGAGGGGAGGAGGAGGAGGAGGAGGAGGAGGAGGGGGAGGGGGAGGAGGAGGAGGAGGAGGAGGAGGAGGAGGAGGGGGAGGAGGAGGAGGAGGAGGAGGAGGAGGAGGAGGAGGAGGAGGAGGAGGAGGAGGAGATGCCCTCCAGAGTGGGGGGCGCGTCGCTTGCTCGGGGACCTGAGCATGACCCTGGAGCTGTGCTCGCCACCGCCACCGTGCACGGTGGGTGCATCGGGAGCGGCCAGGAGGGGGGCGATGGGATCTCGTGGTTGGGGCCATGGTGTCTCCCCAGATGTCAGGGTGCCTCTTCTTGCTCCAATGTGTTCCCCCCCCCCCCCTGCCGCGCGCGTGCCTCGGGCGGGCCATGATTTGCGCCTCCCCCTCGTGGACGCCCCCCTCCTGGACGCCGCTGGAGTGCAGAGGACAAGATCGAATGGCCCTCGGCCCATCCCGCCACCGTGCCTGGGTTGTGGGTGTGAAGCCTGTTGGATGCTCATTGGGATCTCGTGGGAGGCCCCTCGGGGGCCTCTTGGAGGCAGTTTAGGGGGCCTCTTGGGGGCCGTTTGGGGGCCGTTTGGATGTCTCTTGGAGGCCTCTTGGGGGCCTCTTGGGGCCTCCTGGGCGCCTCTTGGGGCTTCCTGGGGGCCTCTTGGGGCGGAAGGCTCAGATTTTAGATTCGTGCTCCCTCTCTTGGGCACCTTTTGGGGCCGTCTTGGGGCCCTCTTAGGCTTGTTGGGCGCCTCTTGGGCCATCTTGGGGCACTCTTAGGCAGTCTTGGGGCCCTCTTGGAAGCCTCTTGGGCCGTTTTGGGCTGGTTTTGGGGGACTGTTGGGCCGTCTTGGAGCGTCGGAACGCAGAACAAGTGTGGGTCCTCTTGGGCCCGACAAATCATGCGAGTACATTTCCCAGAGCACAGGGGGCATGCGGGAAGTCCCTGGGCGCATGCGGGAAGCCCCGAGAGAGAGATTTCGGGATTTGGGTTCCGGGCGTCTCAAATACTCCTCAGGAGGGGGGGATTGAGGCTTCGAGGATCAGGTAAATGACCTGAGGGCACGCCCACTCCGTGCCCAGAGGCTCGGGGGCGAATTTTGGGCAGGTCAACGAACGCGAGACGTTCCTCAAAGCATGTGCAGTCTGTTCCTGGCGGAGGCCCGCACACTTTTCACAGGTGCTCTTCTTTCCCCTGGCGCCCTGGGGCCGCTGGCACGGCTTGGGCGAGGTGGGGCGAGAGGACGAGGAGGAGGAGGAGGAGGAGGAGGAAGAGGAGGAGGAGGAGGAGGACGAGGGAGGAGGAGGAGGAGGAGAGGAGAGGAGGAGGAGGAGGACGAGGAGGAGGAGGAGGGACGAGGAGGAGGAGGAGGAGGAGAGGAGAGGAGGAGGAGAAGGAGGAGGAGAGGATAGGAGAGGAGAAGGGGGAGGAGGTGGAGGTGGAGGTGGAGGTGGAGGTGGAGGTGGTGGGTGGAGGAGGAGGAGGAGGAGGAGGAGGAGGAGGAGGAGGAGGAGGAGGAGGTGGCAATGGCCGCGAGAAGCCAGAAGTGGAGGGAGGGGCGCCGGCGGGAGGGCCAGGCGGCGCGCGAGTGGAGTGGCTGTCTGCGGCCCCCCGGCCCGTCCCCGCTCGTTATCCCTGCGGCCCCCGCGCCCAGCGATGCGGCAAGTCCGCGCGCTCGTTTCAGGGCGCGCCTCCGATGTTCCTGATCCTGGGCACCCCTCACACGTTTCGTGGCTATTGAGCTCCACCGAAGGTCCCAGTGGCGCAGTCCGCATGCGGTTCCTCCACCCAGTACAGCGCTTCGTGGCCCCGTAGGGAGCTCCACCGAAGGTCCCAGTGGCGCAGTCTGCATGCGGTTCTCCCACCCAGTACAGCGTTTCGTGGCCCCAGAGTCCAGCGTGATCCCAGTGGCGCAGTCCGCATGCGGTTCCTCCCCTCAGTACCGCGTTGCGTGGCCCCAGAGGGAGCTCCACCGAAGGTCCCGGCTGCGCGGTCCGCATGCGGTTCCCCCACCCAGTGCAACGTTTCGTGGCCCCATAGAGAGCTCCACCGAAGGTCCCAGTGGCGCAGTTCGCATGTGGTTCCTCCCCTCAGTACCGCGCTTCGTGGCCCCATAGGAGCTCCACCGAAGGTCCCAGTGGCGCAGTCCGCATGCGGTTCCCCCGCTCAGTAGAACGTTTCGTGGCCCCAGAGCACCGAAGGCCCCAAGGTTCCAGTGGCGCAGTCCGCATGTGGTCCCCCGCCCAGTACAGCGTTTCGTGGCCCCATACTGACCTCCACCGAAGGTCCCAGTGGCGCAGTCCGCATGCGGTTCCCCCAACCATTGCAGCGTTTCGTGGCTCCAGATGGAGTTCCACCTTTAGGTCCCAGTGGCGCAGTCCGCATGTGGCTCCCCCACCCAGTACAGCGTTTCGTGGCTCCAGAAGGAGCTCCACCGAAGGTCCCGGCACAGTCCGCATGCGGTTCCTCCGCTCAGTATAACGTTTCGTGGCCCCAGAGCACCGAAGGCCCTAAGGTCCCAGTGGCGCAGTCCGCATGCAGTCCCCTGCCCAGTACAGCGCTTCGTGGCCCCAGAGGGAGCTCCACCGAAGGTCCCGGTGGCACAGTCCGCATGCGGTTCCCTCACCCGGTACAGCGTTTCGTGGCCCCATAGGGAGCTCCACCGAAGGTCCCAGTGGCGCAGTCCGCATGCGGTTCCCCCACCCAGGCCCTCCCAGTACAGCGTTTCGTGGCTCCAGAGGGAGCTCCACCTGAGGTCCCAGTGGCGCAGTCCGCATGCGCTTCTCCCCCAGCACAGCGTTTCGTGGCCCTATTGAGAGCTCCACAGAAGTTCCCGGCTGCGCGGTCCGCATGCGGTTCCCCCACCCAGTGCAACGTTTCGTGGCCCCATAGGGAGCTCCACCGAAGGTCCCAGTGGCGCAGTTCGCATGTGGTTCCTCCCCTCAGTACCGCGTTTCGTGGCCCCATAGGGAGCTCCACCGAAGGTCCCAGTGGCGCAGTCCGCATGCGGTTCCTCCACCCAGTACAGCGCTTCGTGGCCCCATAGGAGCTCCACCTGAGGTCCCAGTGGCGCAGTTCGCATGCGGAATAGGGTTGGGTTCTTCGCCAGGTTAATGTTCAAGTGACTTCGATTTCCACCCCAGAGATCCTCGAAGCGAGATGTCCCGAGGGAACAAATACACTCCCTCTGTCAGTGACGCGATGGACGGACTCATGCGCGTGTGTCTCTCGAATGGCAAGAATGTCAATGCCCCGCGTCTGCAGGTCTACTTCAAGCTCTCCCGCTCCATCTTCCGTCAGCCCCTCCACGCTCCACGAGCCAAGCACGGCATCACGCCCGCAGGGGTGCGGTGGCCTGCCTCGAAACGCCGGGGCCCCCACAGCCCGAGTGCGGGGCGCAACCGTGCATGGAGGTGTGCACCGACGCTGAGTCCGCCGTCGAGCGGGGCGCTCCTGGCGGCAGAAGTGCCCACTGCCGCGGCTGGCAAAACGCGTCGGGGGGGGGGGCGTCTCCGCTGCCCGAGGGCGCCCTGGAGCCCCCTTTTGCCGCTCCCTTGGCGCGCCGCCCCCTGAGTGTGCCACTCACGCCCGTGGCGGCGCGATGCACCAGGCCGATCGCCTTCTTCTCTGCTTTTCGTTTTCTTCTCGTACTTGTTCTTTTTCTCCTTCTTCTCCTTCTTCCTCTTCTCCTTCTTCTTCTTCTTCTTCAGCTCCTTCATTCCTGGGTGGCTGTGCGATTCCTCTCGGCTTCTCCACTCCCCGTGCCAGTCACATTCGGCGGCGAGCGAGGGGGGGGAAGCGAGAGGGAGAGGGCCTCCTCAGAAGGCGGCGGGGCTTCTCGGAAGCCCTCGCGCCTTCTGATAGGCTCTTTCTGTCTTCGGGGAAGGCTTAGACTTGAGTCGGGCCTGTCCCTCCACAGGGGGATATTCCA